GACAAAAAATAGTAAGTGGCTCATATATCCAATCTTTAACCTCCTTCAAAACCCTTGGGGAAATATTATCTGGTCCAGGAGCCTTATCAATTTTTAAACTTCCCAATTTTTTCTTAGCCAGCTCAGAATTAATTCAGGCATTTTGTTTGATCTTGTTTCCATTTATCAACTGTTCAAGATGTGGAATACTGCTTAAATCTTCCTTAGTAAAAACTGGTCAAAAAGCAAAATTTAATAAACCAGCCATCTCATAATCATCAGATACTAGCCTTCCTTTATATACATGATTACCAGAAAAATAATTATTAAAAACGTGTATATAGCTAATTCTTTACATATACACATACTGATAAGCTGCTACAAATCTTGGTGTTTTAGCAAATAATCATATCTAATATATTACAGTTTATGGTATTAATTAATACCTAAATGTATTTGTTAGTGACCTCTTACTTCTTTACAGCTCTCATGAATCTCAAGATTATGCTTGTAAGTTGTCACCAAATGTGTGTGATATGGCAATCATACATAACTTTAAACACTTTCCATTAAACATTCGTATGTTTACACATAGCTATGTATATGAAAAGGTTGTTCTAGAAGTTGGGTAGGATCATTTTGATTTAAACAGTTGATACTATTGTGTAAATTATTGCTAGTAGTAATTGATATAGATGGTGCATAAATTATACATAAAACTTTCTTTGTTTGCCTGAATTATGTAGTGGTAGCAGCTGTGTTGCTCAGCTGCTTGCACTACTTTACAAGTTTTATTAAATGATTATAAGATTAAATATACGTGTAACTTACCCGTGTTTGATACAAAACTTTCACAAAATTAGGTAATACAATTCTTTATTATTTTTCACATATGTAAATGAAAATACATGGTATTAGAAATAATTATGGAAATGTTTAGGTGATAAACATAGAGGAGTCACAGTTAAAGAGTAATTGCAACTTTATGGTCAATTTATTATTAGTGCAGTACATTATTACAGGAAATAGAAAAGTAAATAAGTAGTCTAATGCACTAATATTTTGTATTTTCTTCATTATATTTTGTTTTTATTATTCCCTATGTTTATCAATTTATGATTGTGAAATATTGATCAAAGCTCCTGTATTGCTTTCACAATTCAGCCAAGTTGTTGGTTGCTCTTTGACCTTAGTTTCCATATCAGTCCATACAGCCTCAATAATATTTATATCAGGGCTTTGTACAGGTCAAGCCATGGTTGTGAATGTTCCAGTGGCCTTTTTTTTTTCTTTCCAATATTGGTTGACACTTCTGCTGCATGCTTAGGAACACTGGCTTGCTGAATGATGAATCACTACCCAAAAGGTTTTGCTCTTGAAGATGTAACATGATGGATAAGAATGTACTGGTACCTGTCATCAGTCAGGGTGCTATGAATTTTGTGTAAATTTCTAACAGTAATGTCATTGTTTGAGATTCAGCCCATACTTGTCCCCTAAGCAGGCTTCATTGTAGTTGTTATACATTGACCATTATATTGTTCTTCTCTCTGCCATTGAACAAACAGTCATTGATTCTTGCTAAACAATTAGAAATTGGATTCTACAGCTTTAATTTTTCAATTGTTTGAAATCTGATGTCCATTCTAACATTTGTGTTTTTTCTCTGATTAGTGGTTTTTAAGCAGCTATACATCCACTTAGGCTACCTTGTAATAACGTGTATCTTACTATTCACAAAGTAACATTCATAACTATATTTACAGCTGTATCATTGGCGAATCTCTACACAATTGTCATGTATCACGGAAAGAGCATATTTTGAGTAACTTAACATTACTTTTGAAGTGTAGGTGTTTCTGATATGGTAACTTACCTCTCTCACAAGTATAGCTATTCTTATTCAGTGCTGCTCTCTATATGCAAAATATGTTCACATGCTACAAGCCTTGAACTCCCACGTATCCCATAATCAATGTGGTTCACTGCATCTCCCATGTAAATCATCATGCAATAGGAGTGTGATACACCCTTCTGAAACATATGACTCCCTCTAATCGATTGTACTGAATTATCACTTCTCGTTAAGCAGTGGTCTAGTGTGGAGATTTTTCAATTGTGCTATTTTCACACCTTCATTTAATTTGTTATTGCAACATAGAACATTATTTAAATTATTTGTTTGCTACAGTTAGTTTTATGTATATGTTATTACTATTTACAAATAAATATTTAAATTACAGTTAATTTTATTAAAAGATAGAACAGTACATAAAAAATCTTCGGAAAACAATGATTTCCACTACTTACGATATTTTGAAGTTCTTTTTTGCACTTGTGAGTCATACTTGCTAACCCTCATCTTAAATCTTTTCTAGGCTCACATGTCAATGTAGAAAAAAATAATTTTTGTAGACTTTATATATGCATTTTTGAATACCTAAAAATTAAAAATGACTATACCAATACCAGAAAAAATCTATTTTAATTTACAAGGCTTCTTAACTATGCTGTATTTGGGTTTTAAAAAATCTAATTTCTGTTTGGAAAATAACACTGATCATAATACTTCAAACTCTAAAACAGTACAAGAGCTTCCTCTCGTAATTAACTTAAAAAGACTAACAGAATTATGTAGAGGAAATGTAGAGCTTTTGATTGGTTGTAAACTTATAGGTATAAAAAAGCAGGCATAGATAAACAAGTCTTCTCAAATGATGATATGGTGAGCAGAGCCAATATGGTTGGTTCAATAAATATTATGATATCTCAGTAAATAGAAAATGTAGGATATTCTTATTTCATATTCTAGCTTGTCAATATTGGAAATTTGAGTTTATAATTTATATGAAACTATAGACATTGTATTTTGGGCATCATAAGATGTAATCTGACCAAATCCACAAGATGACTTACCTGTGTGACACATAAAAATCTATATTTAGCAATTTATTTCAAATTAAAAAATTAACTAATGTATAATACTCAAATTTTAATTATAATCTACAATTTGATACCAAGTTTATTGGCATACATTCATAAAATATATTTCAATAAAATTTTGAATGTAAGTCTATAAAGGTAATGACGTGCTCTCCGACCACTAGCTACCTCTATCATGACAATTCCACCTTTGTAGCCTATATCAATCATCAAGGGGGGCACCTGTTCCTGTTCTCTTTCTGGTTGAACATTAAAACTCCTTTATTGGGCGTACACACTGCGGATAAGTCTCCTTGCATGTCGTGTTCTGGGTGCTTTCAACCTTGTGGTGGATCGTTCTTCAAGTACCAACCAGGTCTATCCTAAGGAATTGTCTCTCTACAGATTTGTGCACATGTGCGCTGTTTCGTAGATTGGTTTGAAAAGTATATAGTTCTGTTCTACTCAGTTTTAGGTGAAGATGGTGTGGACCCTCGTACTGCTATGGTTTGGAAGTTGTATTCCTGATGGGTCTTGGTTTTTGAGCTGGAGTTGACTGGCCATGCATGGTCCGATGTGCCCTAGCCACTCTATACATTGGGGCATTTTAACTTCCCCACATTCCTGTCTGTAGATAGTTCTTCTACAGTCTTTCTTCGCTAGGATTGAGATTCTGGTCTGTTGTGATTTGTATTTGAATCCACCCAGTTTTTCTCTCTCTTTGTGCTCCTCCCACTTTCTGCCCATGTATTCGGCACCTATTTCCACACTGGGCACAGAGGATACCTGGTACAGAAGTGGTGCGATCTCCCACATGTGTTCCTCTCCCAACAGGGATCACACTTCATGGGTGTTCTTTATATGCTTTCGAAAAAGATACTTCTTTCCATTCCACGCACCAGTCCCTCCACCTATTCAATATGGGATTCTAGCTATACATGTGAGAGGAGGTAAGGTTCCGTATTGGAAGTTATTATTTTCCTATACTGAAAATATATTTCTGATGGCTACTTACCTCTTCTCACACTTCCCACCCTTCCTCCCCACTAAAAACCAGGGCTTTCTTTCTGCCTAATCTCGATATAATAGTTTGGTAAAATTGAATAGAGGGAGTTGCATTCATCAGGAGGGTGTGTTGCACTCCTATTGGTGGAGGATTGTTGCATGATGATTAATATGTGAGACGAGGTGAACCACGTTGATCATGGAGTATGTGGGAGTTCAAGGCATGTGAAAAAGTTTTGCATATAGAGGGCAGCACTGAATGAGAATAGCTATATGTGTGAGGGAGGTAAGTACCTATCGGAAGTATATTTTCAGCATAGAAAAATATTAACTTTACTCAAGTACTTTTCTTATTAATAAATGTGCCATGTAAAATTTTTGTTCTGAGAATCATGAATGCATTCACCAAACTACTATTGGAAATAGTATGGGTGCTTTCATTTTTAGAGGCATTGTGTTGGTGTGGCCCTGGCTTATTAGTTGTACAATAACCACTCATTGTGTAAACTATCAACAGTTGATTGTAGCTTGGTGCATTTCATTTTCATAGATTAGAGGAGGAATAATTTCATAATATTGGAACTTTATACACATTTTATTTAATGTTTTCATAGTTATTCCTAGTACTGTATGTACTTCTAAAATAGGTCGATCAAATTGACTGAATGTGAATAGAGTTAGGGTAGAGAAGATAACATATAAAATATAAAGTTTTATAAAAAAAAACGTTTGGTATACATTTAGGAGATTTTAAGGATTACAGGAAATGAAATTTTACAATTTTCAGATAAGTGAAAGTATTTTTAATCTTAAAATGAAAATAACTTTGCACTAGGAGCAGTAAACACTCTGATTACATATTGTTACGACAGCGGAGGTCATGTGACACTAGTAACACGTCATATTCTTGTAGGTTCGTGAAGCCTCGAGTGTTTACTAGATTTTCGGTATTCTTGTATATAAGACCGCCAAGAACTGACGGCAACAATCGGAATGTAATTGAATTGCAGACAGAGATACAGACGACAATTGAGCCAAGCGCGTGAATCATTCGTTCGTTGTGAAATATAGCATTTGTTTAAGTTATAGCGTGACTGTGGAAACTAAGTGTATTGCAAAGTTGTATTGAGAAAGAATAATCTAGTTTTATTTAAGAAAGGACTTGTATCGCTAAAGTTTCTTTGGAAAGAATTTTTACGGAAAATTAACTAACGACCAGAGACGTAACAATATATTCACGGATAAATTTTTGATAAAAATATTTAATTGTAAACAATCTGATTTTTTTATGTACAAAAGACTTGTAATGCTTACTGAAAGCTTGCCAAATTTCATGAAGATGCACAAAACATATTAAAAGTTTTAGTATGGAAACTAATGGTTACTTTGGGGTCATGAACTTGGTTGAATCAACAAAATCTGTAGTGAGAGAATTAGAGTATGATTAATCTCTGAATCTGTATTATTTTTTATAAATATATCATTATACATTGGCTGAATAACTATGGTAATTTTTAATGTAATCCAGACATTCAAACCTATGATATCACAAAATAAACAGTTGATCATTTCTGTAACCAGAGAATTCAAGAATCTTAGTTTTTCTTTGAGATTACAAGGGCTTAAATATCAAATACACACGAAATAAATACTGGTTAAAACTAATCAATCAATCATGACTGCTAATTCATATAATTTAGTATAAAATTATGTTAGAGGGAAAAGAAAAAATATGAAATTCCATTTAATAACTGCTTTACTTGTTCAAACAAGGAAAATCTTAAATTTTAAAATTGTTCATCTCTGAACCTGTAAATTGTATATGACATAAAAACATCAATAAATTAGTTTATGTTTACTACAAAGACTGGCTCTTTTATTTCAGAATGATGCAACCTTGTATTAGAAATTATATTGCAGTTTTCAACGTGAAATTTTTAATTCATCATGGTGTGTTAAGTACAGCATGTTAATTAGTCAACATCTTGTGAAATATAGGAATAGAAGAAACAAGAAAAAATATGTACATGTTTCTTAAACTTTTAAGTTTTACCTTCTGATGACAAGCAGAAGTGCACTTTTAGATTTCAGTAGGGGGAAGAAACTTTAATGAGGTTGGGTGTTTTGCAGATAAAAATCAGTATTGTGTGATTATTTCCTATATTTTTTTATAAATCGTGTTATAACAAATTACCAAAACAGGCAAGCTTGCTCTACTGTACGTTTAATGTTTTTTAATTTCTCATCTTTGAAAAGCAAGATTGCCTTAGATATGAATCTCCCTTAAAGTCAGGCCAATGTTGTAGTAATATTAATACATTCCACAGGATTTTATATTTTTGAATTTCATGCTCATTTTAGGGCAACAAGTATTTACATTGTAGGAACATTAGTTGATTTTTAAGAATTTACCTACATTCAGGCTTTCATACAGTAAATAATGGAGATATAAAATAAAGTGGATGATACCTGATGCTTATCTGTGGAAATAACAGATTAAAGAAAACAATTGGGTAATAACCTATTTGTGTAACACAAATGTCAGGAAATAGCTAATGTTTTACATGTTATTGTGTAAGTGTTGTTTTCAGTGATAAGACAGGACAGCTAAGTTTGAAGGTTTTTTTTTTTACATACTGTGGAAGACAGTGTTGAGGTAGTCTCCATTCACTTGAGCAAAATAATTTTTAAAGTATCAAATCAAACCTATTATATCACTGAAGCTTAGCAAGAGTAAAATAATTGGCTGTATTAATGCATGTTTAGTTTGTAAGAGTTTTAAATAAATGTTACTTACTTATGTAGGATGAAAAATCACTTCCTGAATGTCAATTTTTCCACCTACAGGCTAGGAAGTTACTAAATGAAAGTAACTGCACAAAGTACACATTTTAGGTATGTGTATTGTTCTTAATGTTAAATAGTGATACAAAACATATATGGCGGAGGGGGGAGCACTTCCATATGCCTCTTTTCAAATGGCACCCATGGTCACAAGTTAACCTGTTGAAATATTTCATTTTGTGCTTTGAACAGGTTAATCACCTTTTGAAATAGCATTTATTTTATGTGTGATGTATATATGTATTCCTAATAATCTTGTCTTGGAGATGTACTAAACTGTAGTGTTTTTAATTTTAAAATGTACATTTTTATGAATATGATATATAGTGTTAACAATGTTTTCTTACCATTGTCATCTTTACCATTACAGCAACGAAGAGAGTAAATAGTAAAAATTTAGTACCTAATTTCAAATGTTTTGACATTTAACTGTGTTATTGAACATATTAGTTTTTATTGAACTAATTTCTCTGATATGTACAGATATTGACATCTGACAGAAAAGCTAAATTGTCCACAAAAATGAAAGTTAAGCAAAGGAAAATGTTTGGACACAAGTAAACAAACTAATAAAATCAAGCTTAAAATTGAGAGAAATGAGAGACAACAGAGTTAAAATTGAGAAACAGAACCACAGGGGTAAATATTCTTTCAAAACATCCCAAATTTTTACTGTACCTTCAACCAGTGCTATAGTGCCATCACTTCAGTGAAAAAAAAAATTGATTTCCTTTTTTTTGCTTTTCTTTTTTCTCTTTTGTCCCAGTTTCCTTCTCAATTTTGACCTTTTCCATTATGCAAAATTCTTCCCTAGTTTTCAATATCTCAAAATTATTCCTATACCTTTTGAAAGAGTATTCAACTCTGAAGGAAATGTCTCACTTTTATACTCAGGCAAAGCCATAGTTAACTGTTGTAAGCCAACTTGAAGATAAATGCATACATACTATCTTGAGAATTACAACAGATTAGGTAACCTTTACATGTGTAAAAGGATTAGCACGTACTTATAATTTGTGACATTCACTCATTGTGGATGTGATTGATTACATGAAGAAACTATAAGAAAATATAGAAAAATTGTGTGGAGATAGCTGAATAAAGATATATACTAATCATAACACTTCTTGTAAAGAGGAAAATGTAGATATCTTGACTGTAGCTTCCATTTTAAATGGAGTTAAAGATTACAGGACCAGTTTAACCTGTAAGAATTTTCATCCATTGTACTTGTGAAATTACAATCATTGAAACTGTAAGTCTATAATTATTTAAAACAGATAGACTTACAGTTTCAATAGTTGTATCATTGTCAAGACTTGCTTATTCAAAATACTTATTTACTCAGACAGAAATCTAATTTATACAAGCAGATCTTGGTGAAATCATTATTATTGTAAACATTGAACATTTAGATATAAGAAAGTAAGATAAGATTGAAAACTATTCATTCATTGGTTTCATTGTGTTTTTACTTATGTAGAGCAATGGTATATATTAGAATGTAATTGTGCATTAGAAAATAACTTAGACACCACTGTACAAAAAAAGTTATGTACTAGATTTTTTGTAAATATCTTTTTTTTAAACTATAAAGAGGATTTTTTGCTTCAAGTTAGTACTATTCATGGCAGTTTGACAAAGTGTGATTCACTCAGAAAGTGTTTCTTCAATCTATGTGTAGGCTTGAAGGACTTATTATTGTATGTGCTTTACTTTTTATTTATAAACTGATAATGCTAGTTATTTGACCACTCACTACTTTGATTTTATTTTCCCACATTTTACTTTTTTTTTATTGCAAGAACTTTGTGTATTTGAGTATAGTTGATGATTTACTTCTGTAAATATATATATACTGTCAATGTTCCATTCAGGCAAGAAAGAGGAAATATTCTATAATTTATACATTTTTGTGTGTGTTTTCATTGCATGATTTAAAGCCATCAATTTTACATACAGATTTTGGCCATAGTTTTACTCTTGTGTGTTATAATAGGGTTTTATTACAAGATGAGCTTGTTTTCACTGTCAATTTTTTAAGGGATAATTCTTATCTGTTTTGTCATATGCTTAAAGTAATATATTTAATACACATAAGTATTTGCATCTTGTTGATGAAACAGTTATGTTTATGTATATTGTTTATTCACAGAAACTTGTCATCAGATTCCTCAGTCTTTGTAACTGACTATATATGGGATGAAGAAAATAAAGATATTCATAAATGTGTAGCATTGAAAGTGCATAAGTCAACAGTAATAACATACAACTGCCATGAAAACATAAAATTACCATTTGTCTGTGTCAGTCCAACATTTTGGAAAGTTGAAGAGTTATATGACAGTATGTAACTCTCTTTTTATTGTTATTATATTTTTAGTGATATAGTAGTTAAGAGTAAACTGACATTACAATGTATCTATTTTATTAAAAAGAGCAATGGTAACAAGTGTTGATAATCTGATTTGTGAGGATCAAGATTACAAATATTTTCCTTATGTATATCTCATACATAATTAGTGCTTGTGTATATGTATTTCCTAGGACATTTGCAAAGAAAGTTTATACTCTACTGTACATTTAAAGTCATATACAGAAAACTAACAGAATAAATGCACTACAAAGTTGACCTGGTAACTAGAGTATTCAGCTTGCAGCCTGCAGATTGTTGATTTGAATCACATCACCAGACATGCTCACCCTTTCAGCCATGTTAAAGAGCTACCCAAGAGTTGATGTTGGATGAGGTTGACTAGCTGCCATTCCTTTAGTCTATCACTTCTAAATTATGGATTGCTGCTTTCTACACATGCAGAATTTTTGTGAGCTATACACTGTTTACAGCACACTTGCATTCAACTGCTGGAGGCAAAACCTTACCCTATATGGCGAATCAGCAGTCAAATGGTTAAACAAACAAACACCTCAAAGTTTTCCTTCAGATATTTGTTTTATTTCTAATGATTTTATTAGCTGTTTTATTAAAGATGTGTACTATAAAAGTGAGGCACTGACTTTTATATAGTGCATACCTTTGATGAAGTGTAAAATGAGGCAGTGGTTAATTAAACAGTTTTTAGCACAAATAATCATTTTTCATGCATTATAGTTGCCGTGATCTAGCACTTCATGAACAAACAAGCACTAAATAATAGTATAAAGAAATCCACAGACCTCTATTTAGATATTACACCATAATTGTTATAAATGAATACAAATTAATAATCCAGTTAAAAAAATCGATATTTTCAAAGCATAAAAAGAATATATACATTTGACTTTATAGACATTTTGATGTGGTTTTGATTAATTAAATTATAATTGCCAGTAGCAGAAATATTACTAGTTTTAGTAAAATCAAGTCTGTGAGCATGTGATCAATCTTCTTTAACATTACATGTTGCTTCTTCTACTTTGTGATTTGTTCAAAATGTTACTAAATTTGCTAGTTAAAAATATCTAATTATATTCAATGTAATTATGGTAACTTTTTTACATTCCTTAATGAAGAATTTCTTACAAAAGTGATCTTCAAATACTAATTAATGTGGCTGTGATGTAAAATACTGTTGTAACAGTTTCTATTGTTAGTCTGTTTTTTTGGATTATTTTTTGTAAATATAAGAATGAAAATTCTAGTCAACATATTGATAATGAATGTATTTTATCTTATTAACTTACAAATCCACAAGTTATCTAAACTAATGTTTGCAGATATTCCTAAATACATAACAGTAACACAATAATTTATTTACTTGATACTTTCTCTCATGTGCACAATACTTTCTTATATCTCTGTTTCTTCATCAAAACATAAGCCCGGTATTCACTAAATTGAGTGACTGGCAGAAAGTAACAGACAAACTATATAAGTCGGTAATCAATTTTGTATATCCTAACTTGCTTTTTATATAGCTTAACTCATTTCATTCACTTTCAAGGAAGTTATAGTCATTAATCCATGCCTGTCATGTGACATGAAAACTCTCTCTCTAGATAATCAGTAATACAAATGTCTAAGTAACAAAACTTATCCTACAACACTGCCCCTTCATTGCTTTGTGAAGTACCTTGAAAAATCCTATTACATGCATGCACACAAACACAATGATATATTAAACATAAACTTTTAGAACTGACAAAAAGTAGTTCTTGACAAGTAAGGACATTAATACTAATAAATATAGACATGGCAATCATTAAATTATTAATCAAATATGTGAAACAAAGTGCAATCAGAACTTTTTTTAACCAAACAAAATTTATTTATTTACTTATATACTGGACAGTGTATGAACAGCCATTTTCTTTTTATTGTGTTCTTTTCCTTGGCTTACAGTGTAAAGATGGGATGACCATTGTTCTTTATCAAACACTTGGAGGTTCGTTTTTAGGTAGATGGTTGAGAGCTTCCACTGGTGGTACTCTGGAAGTGGTTTTGATAGAAACCTCACACTTTTCAACAGGTTTACTTGCTTTTCACAAATTCTTCTCTGAAACTAACCAGACTACCATTATTCTGATGGTTTGCCTTCAAAGATTACTTTGGTTGATGACCTTTGGCTTGAACTACCTATCTTTTTGGATTCTGTTCTGTTGCATTTTAGGTGAATGTCTTCATTATTTTGTACTTTCATTCCTGTTTTCACTGGCAGTTCATCCTCTGGTGATGTAATTGTTGTGGTATCCAAAGGGATTTTCTGACCTAAGACTGTGGAACTGTGTGAACCAAGTATGTAACCTCACATCCATATGTTGACACTAATTCTATTCCCAATATGCACTTTTCCTTGATGTCAACTACCCACACATCATGTTATGAGGAGAAACTTCTCACAATTAGAGGACTTCCTACTTTCTGTTATTTTGAATTCTACAACTACTTGCTGTTTGCATAAATTCATTCACTTGTTTCATGCATAGAAACAGTTTTCTTCTTTTTATTATTAGATACATTCAAACAATTGTAGATGTAACACCAATATCAATGAACATGTTTCAAAGCTATCCAACAGTGTATCTATTGAAGTTTGGACTGGTTTATCTAAATAATGAATTCCTTATTTAATTTTGTGCAAATGGAGTACTCTCACCTGAACTTTGCCTCTTAAGGCCAGTAAATTCCCATTTTCCATTCTCTAGTTAGCTCTTTGTTGTTCCTCTGATCCACACTTGTAGTTCCCTATTTCTGTCATTCATTGGGTGTAATTATTATTTATTGATGGAATTCTGTGTGAAGTTCTTGGCAATGTGCCCTTTGAAGTTGCATTTGAAACCATCTACTGTCCTGTTGGTTACTTTTTCCATTCTGACCAACCAGTTGTCTGATTAATCCTTTGAGTTTTTCAAGATTTCCATCAGAGGGAATTGATATTTCCATGCTATTTTGTTTTGCCATCTGATAAGTCCTGGATGATACTTTTAGTTGTTTATCAGCAACAATAGCTGTTTCATGTTCAGTCGTCAGCTTCATATCTTCTTCAAATATTAAGCTTAAAAACTGTTTCTTTTGAATGTGCAGTAATACAAATAGCTTGTTGTTCACTACTCCATCCATTTACTTTGAAATTTATTTGAAACTGTGCCTCCCAAGGTAAATTTCTATCATAATATATTGGTTCCTCAACTGGGTGATTTTTCTGAATTGGCCTAGTAAATTCCTTAAATTGATTAACTGGAGGTGTAGACAGTAGTATAGTAGTAACAGCTGTAGGCCACAAGGGTTTTTCTAGTCCACTGAGCATAGCTGATGGTGTTTGATTTTGAAATTATTTATCAGATATAGAAAGAACTCTTTCTAGCTTGATTCTTGCATTTGTCATTTCAGGCTCTAGATATCTTATCTTGGCATTGTTCTTTTCTTTTTCATTGATCTTGTAATAATCATTCTTTGCATATCTGATAGCTTCTTTAATCTTGTTATTTGTGCTACATTTTTATATTTTATATTTCACTGATCTTATAATCTTTCTGCGGGCCTGTTATGTTTTTTTTAACATTAATGTATACTTTCTCTAGCTTGTTTGATCATGTTTTTGATTTATTTGATTTTTGTTTGTAATTCTTATATATAAGTCTAATGTTTCATTCTCGTAATTTCTCCCTAATAACTTCCTGCCTTTTTTTCTAATATTTCCATCATTCTTTTTTATCTCATTCAGTTTTCTGTCTCTTCCTAATCTTCTTTCCACTGTTACATAATTTCTGATATGATATCTTACCTCCTCTCACAAGGAGTAGACCAGTTTGTCTGGTTTAGTTTCTGTTTTGTTAGGAAGAAGTAACATTTATATATAGCCATCTTCTAGCTGTAATTGTATCAGGTTAATAAAGCTACCTCAGGTCTGTGTGGAAATGCAGGAGTGGGAGATGGAAGGCTAGTGGTGAGCATTGAAAAATTGTGCCAGTAGCGGGCAGAACTAATTGAGAAAAGCTATTTTGTGAATGGGGGTATCTATCGGAAATACATTTTCAGTGTAGGAAAATGCTAACTTCTCTTAAATATTCAGTCTCATTTCTAGCATGACATCATTCTGAAGTCCAAGCTTGATTTTATTTTTACCTAAATAATCCAACTCCTTATACTGTGTTCTAATGGTTTTTATTGTTTGGAAGGTTATTGTAGATTATATGGTAAAAAGAAGGATTCCAGGCCTTTTAATCATAATAAAAGGGTTTTATTTCTGTGGCCACAAGTTAATGTAACTATTCTATGCTGATGGGCATAAGTTCACAGGAGATATTATTGGAACAATTTCACTTATTAGTTATCTTTCTTGTACTTATGGAATTTTTTTTTATCTTTTATCATGAAACTGAACTAAAAGACTAACTGGCTGACAGTAACAGACAAACCCATAAATAAACTGTCTAACTAAATAATCAATTATTTTTAGCCTTTCTCACTTTTATTGTAGATCAAATTATTCTACACTTTAAGAAAATTTTAATTATCAAGTCATGCCCATCACAAATGTGAAAATTTCCTCTAAACAAACAATTATATAAGCATCTAGATTACAAAACATAAACTAAAACAGTATTTAAGCTGGTGAAATAGTCTAGTTAAGAGAAAGTTATTAAGCATTTGAATCTTCATATAGACTTGACAGGTATTATGATTTTATACCAAAAGTAAAAACTTTAAGTAGCATAATTAAGTTTAAATGCAGGGGTATGAATGCTTAACTCATGGAATAATGATAAGCAAACATGTCAAGAATATGTATTAAGCATGACTAATGAAGACCCTCAAGGCACAAGACATCCAGTAAAAACCATTTGAAGTCAAAAATGATTCTCTTTATTGGCTGTTTAGTATGTCTTATGTATGTACTGGTCTAGAGTTATAGTTTATACTATGTTAGGGCTGAAGTGAAATTCGTTTTTGGTTGATAAGAATAGTGGGCAAAATTTAGATAAATGAATTCAAGGAAAATATTAAATTTTGCTATTTGACAATTACTTATTGTTTAATTTTGTTACCATATTATATACTTGTTCATTTATAAATGTGAACAAGAACTATACTTGGAAAGTACTCATTGAGCAGAGTTAATCTTTTAACTTCTATTGTATTATGCATTTTTTAAAATTAATATGAAGTTATCTTTAAACATAATTTACCATATTTAAAAATTTTCAATTCCAAAACACATGTTGTAGCTGAAACTGAAATTTGTGTTTTATTTACTCTCTTTGTTAATGAATATGTTCTTTATGAAAAACCTAGTGCATGGTCTCATTTATTATAACTGCCAGTTTGTCTAGTTTAGTTTCTGTTTTGTTAGGAAGAAGTAACATTTATATATAGCCATCTTCTAGCTGTAATTGTATCAGGTTAACAAAGCTACCTCTGGTCTTTTTTGTGTTGTTTTTTCCTTTACAGAATTAACCTCAATTAAGGTCTAGCTTTGAGTGTGAAAATGTGATACTTCTTGTTGTTGTTTTTTTCAGCTCCATTCTGCAGAAGTGGTGAAAAGTTTTCATACTTAGCAAATGGATGTTTGAAAATTGAAAGTGAAACTAGAAAAACCTACCATGATGCTATGGATAGCTGCATAAAACTTTATAAGGGGAATATAATTGAAAATGAGTTGTTTTCGGAGTTGGTTAACACCAGGATTGTCTTAGATGGTAAATTTAGTTATTCTTTATATTAAGGTTTAACTACCCCTATATTACATGTCAGTATTGTGTGTTAAATGTTTTGTTTTCCTTAAATGATTGTTCTGAGAACTTTATCATTGCTGTGTCTGTTGTATCCCACCTGGCCTAATGAGCCTTGATATTAGGTGAAATACCTCATAGGCACTAGATATAACAGTTGTAGTGTGTTTCATATATTATAATATATTCTCCATAGCTTTTGCATAAGGATTCTCTTGGAAAATTTGATCATTTTGGTCTAAAAATCTTCTGGTCAAAGCAATCTATTGTTGTAATGGTTTTTATTATTGGTCAGGTTCTTTTGGATTATTTGGCAAAAAAAGAATAATGCACAGTCCAGTCTGCTTAATGGTAATGAAAGTGTTTTATTTCTTGAACTTAATGTTTTACAGTTAGTTTAACTAAAGCTTGCTGATAAGCCTAAGCTCATAGTAGATTTTAATACAACAGGTTCTCATACTTGTTAATTTTCTCTTGCATTTGTGGTACTTTTTCATATCTTAAATACTTTGTTGAAAAAAAAACTTAGTATTCACAAAGCTGAACTAACTGACAAATGGTTTAATACTGACTCAGTATCTATCTGCACTGTAACAGACATGCAAATCAGTCATGATAATACCCTAATTCACTTTTTATATGGTTAAACCATTCTCTAAACATTAAGAACGGATCTAGTCATTAAGCCATGTGCTCTCAATTGATGTCAAACTTCCATCTGGTAAAAAAAATACAATACATGTGTCTAAATGAAAAAGAACTGAGCCTACCACATTACCTATACTATCTATATGAGTCAGAACTTAGAAATACCCCATTAAATTATGTACCTAATTTTATATACTGATCTAAATGGGAGAATTTTTAGTTTTATTTTTTTGTTTATCACTTGCTTAAAAATCTAATAATTGCTCAATTATTTATATAAGCATATATACATGTGTGTGCAATTACTTTTGTGTGTAAGGATGAGGTAAGTGGATCTTGTCCCAGTAAATAACAAATTATAATTCTGAAAAGATATCCTTACCTTTCTGCATACAGTAGCTACTCCTTGCACATCTGCCTTTAATATTTTACACATACTGCTAGCCTTGGGCTATCTCCCACTTGAGACGTGTTCTAACATGAACTGTGCTCATGTGGGATGTAATCATCATGCAACAGTAGCCGTCCATCATTAGGAGGGTGATACATTCTCCATACACGTAGTTCCCCATAAGCACTTTCATTCAAAATTAACATAATTCTTTTTCTTGGCACTGTCATGAACAGACATGTTTATTGAAGTTTAAACTTTGTTTAATATTGTGAGATTTGTGTTGCCTATAATCATATGTAAACTTTAGTTCATTTTATTTTATTTCAATCTATGTCACCTTTCAATTACTGCATACAAAAAAAAAAATTGATCTTGAGAATTTATTCAATAACAATGAATTCTCAAGTGACTACTTTCTCCTCCTGAGGTTTTGGTAATGTTGCTAACACTGACCCTACTTTTCCTGTGGCCACTGAAGGCTCATTGACTATGGAGGACATTATTGCCATTATTCAACATGTCATGGGTTTGTTAATCCCTTCTTTGTCTCATCTACCTGTCCCTACATCAGAAGTGTGTTACCCTCTTTCTGAACCAGAACACAAGGATTTTGGCAATTTTGACTGCCTTTTACAACCTCCCAGGTTTGCACTAGATTCCTCTTTACCTGTAGAGGACAATGTTCCTCCTCCATCTTTTTATGGATTTGATTTCTCAGGTTTGTTCTTTACTTTCTCTTTCACTTTTTTCTTTTGATTCTTTCTTTTCCTAACTAGATGACTCCGAGATTTTCCTTCTCCTCTCTCTGACATATGTGTAATGCTAATGTATTTCTGGATGAGATTCATTCACACTCTCAAAGTCCTCATCCTCCTTGGCTTCTTTGCCATAAGTTATGGCATTTTCCTTTTTCCATTATTGAATTCCATACCTCTTAGGTCCCTTTTACCTGACTCCTGTCTCCAATAATTCTCTCTTGTGATCAATTTTTTTCATTTTTCCCTTTTCTTACCCATCACTTTTGTTACCTATACTTTCTTCATCTCCTCTCTTAAGCCCTACACTGTGATTCTCTTAGTTTTTCTTGGAGTTTTACCATTGGTACTTTTCAATACCTTGACCAGGGTTTTGTCTTTTGCTTTGTCCCTACTTACTTGGTTCCTCTATTGTTGGAACCTTATAGGATCTGATGCTCTTCTCTTTGCTGTTTGTTTGGACAAGAGAGTCATGGAGAGGATCTTTTGCCCACTCCAGGGTTTTATTCTTGTCTTTTTATTGTCCCCTAAAAGACCTGGGACTGTATCTCATCATTGACCTTTCTTCTTTCAACCAATAACTAGTAGATTCTTAATTCAAAATGGAAGGTTTTTCTTTCTATTAGTCCTCTTCACCTGGATTATTGATGACCTAGGTCAATGTCTTGGATGCCATTTCTACATATTCCAGATTGATAGCAGTTTCTAAAAGTAACACACCCTAGACAGAAACAGGGCCAGTGCGATACAAGATTCTGGCTATTTGTGTATGCATTGTTTCCCTAAGTAAAAGGATTTAGCACATTTTAACAACCACTTGACATGTGGTTAACAATAATTTCATGACTACATGAAGAACACTGCACAAAAATTTAGAAAAATTGTGTAAGTATAACTGAATAAAAGATATATTCTAAACTAGTTATGGAAGGGTGAAAGTTGTTCAATGATTTATAACAGTGGAATAAAAGAGACAAGAAACAATGTTGGAGTCAAAATGAAAATATCAATAAAAATAAAGAAAAATACTACAATATGAATGGATCATCTAATAGTAGAAAAAAATAAAAATAAATGAGAAGATAATGGATGAAATTCAATTTAAATTAAAGCTTAAATAGTCAGTACAGGAATCAGATATGGCACAAAGACAGGACTTATACTACACATCTTGAATTTCTTAAGATTCAAGCTTACTTTTCTGTAAAACAGCCAAGAATGAATATACAAGGCAAATTCTCTCTGTAACTAACTAATGAGGAAAGGGACACCAAAACTTGTAAATATCCTTGCTGCATGTCAATAAAGACAATGCAACTATCCCATAAAATAACAGATAAATTTCTTGACTAGCCAAACCACAAAAAAGTAAAGCTTCAAACTGAATTCTTACACATGATCTCGCCCTGAGTCAGTGTTACAAAATCAGAATTTTGAAGGAATGGAATGTATACTATACGAGAGTAAGGTTTGTAGCATTTTCATACTAAAGCATCTTATATTTACCTTACATAAAAGTTTTCCTAAGTTTTAAATTTTGTAGTATTCTAATTTGGATCATATAAATTTAGTCAATATCTTGTGCTAATTGAAACCTGAATGTTATTTTCTGTATTAGAACTCAGGCAAGCAGGCTATTGTTTCATGAGATAGTTGTATTGTAGCCTACATTACTTTTTGTATGTGGGATTGCTTTGTGAATGTCAAATGTAATAGAGATGTCTTCAGATATTAGTAATCCAATTTTCGGATTGGTCATTTACATAAATAATTGGATAATGAGAACAATTTTGACATTTCCAAGCAGATTTGTTCTATCTTCAATGAGTCAGGACTTATTGTGAAGCACTTTTGTTTTCCTTTTTTCTGTTATTTATTGATTGTGTGTGTTTCTCATTTATATATTAATATATATATATTAAGTTCAACCACCATTCATCAGTTGCTTTTAAATACAACTATATATTTATAAGGATACAGTTCCTTTATGTTGGATACAATTTTTCTATATATCAAATTATTGTGTCCACCTAAAACAGCAACAGTTTCTGGCCCCTAAGCAAATAGCCAATCTTCTCTTTTGTGTTGTTTTTTCTTGTAAATAAAGTTTATTTACATTTCATCATTACTTAGCCTTTTAGATACTGCCTTTAACAAATCACTATACCTGTACTTCTAAGTACTAAATCTACAAACATCTAACTGTTGTGGTGATCAGGTAACTGTGTACTTGTTCATCCAGAACTTGGGATTAATACACATGTATGCACATAAACATGTTTTTATGGACGAGAAGTGGTCTCTTTGTGCTTGCTGAAACCACTCTGTCATTCAGAAGCTTTAATTATGTATTGAACATCCTATGATAGAAATCAAACTGTGGGATTTTAATGAATAAATTAGCTTAGAATTAATAGGTTATCTGTTACCTTAATATTTATTACTTAGTTCTGTTTTTCATCAAAAGCAATCCATCCATTTCGTAGCATGTAACTGGTAAACTTATGGGTTTGATGGATCTTCATAAATGCAAGACTTGATGATGAAATTGTTATATAAATTTATATCATTATGTTTGTGGTTTAATATGAAACTAAGCGTGAAAACAAAAGAGCAAATGACAAGAGATATACAAGTATTAATAGAGCAAAGTATTTTGAGTTATTTGGTGTCCAGCACCAACAGTTCTTTTTGCTTTTCATTATTATCATCATGCATCATGATATTGGTCTGTCTAACATTAGTATCAGATTCAATCAATTGAAAAAGTGGTATTGTTGTACATCTAGTTGTAAGTCCTTGAAACCTGGTTGTTGGTCATTAAAAAGGTCTTTGAACTTAAATGTTGCTGAATATTTTGTATTGGTAAGTGTACACACAAAAGCTGTTTTATTAATTAGGCTTATTTTAAGTCTATACTAGAACTATTTATACGAGTGAATATGGAATGTTAATCTCTGCAGCTGTGAATTACACATAATAATTGTGCAACAAAAGTTTATATGTCTTTGTTAGATGTCAGTGCATTTTGTGTAAAAATATATGTTTGTGGTTTATTAAAGATGATTATCTGTGCATGGGTTATGTTCTACCTAAGCTGTTCATATTGTGTGTCAAAACTTATACCACTCTATCAATTTTCAGGAGACTTTTGGGTGAAATCAACAGAAAATGTGAGAGGCCTTTGCAGTGCTTACGTGGGCAATAAAAAGGAAATGTTTGAAAATTGTGAACTAAAACATGGTTATATTTGTATCAGTAGTGCCTTAAAGATGGGTTAGTAGCTATGAATATATCTTAACTTACACTTGAAATGTATTATTTAGTTAAATATACCCTTTATGCCATTAGTCTTATATCAACTCATAAGCTTTATTCACATCATACATTATTTACACTTATATTTGTGACACCATTCTATAGGTTCAGCAGTAGACTTGTGAGCTAGATGTCAGAAATTGTGATTTGAATCGTGCAATGGGCACAGCATAGATATCCCATTGTGCAGCTTTGTGCTTAATAAAAAAACAGTCAAATTCTGTCTTTGGTTTTCAGTATATACTGTTTCCTGTTCTGACAGATTCATTCATTTATAGCTGTGCAGAGCTTTTATGATGGCTCTTGTGTAGCTTCATGAAATATCCAAGTGACATAGGAGATATGGAGATATATGGAGATATAAGTACTCACCTTGCTGTGGATAAGGTTTTCAGAACAAAGGGAAGTACTGCTGTACTATTTGTGACTTTGTAAATTCAGTGCTATCTTGTGACACTTAACAACAGTCTGAAAGCTTTAGCTTTTCATCCTTTTGCTATTATATTTTCATTTCATTGGTCTATGGAGGTGCTTCAGGGCATTCATGTTTCTAAGTTGCTTGCTTTATTTGTTTTTCAGAATGAATATGAATGAAAGTTTGTCGGTTTTCATTAGGGTTTGTATGGTTCATGGAAAACCTGAAAATCCCTTAAAAATTATAATGTAGTGAAGATTCTTGGAAAGCTAGAATGTTTCTATCAAAATTTGTTTATCCCAAACATTTTAAATGCCAACAAAGTAAAGCATTTTTACTTTGGCCAACTGTTTTAAGCCCCATTTCTCATGATCTGCCATCAACACATTTACTCACTAGCTTTCTGTGTGAGAGGTGAGTATCTATTGGAAATACATTTTCTGGTAAGGAAAATGTTAATGTTGATAATGCTAACATTTCATTCACAAAACCATGTTGAATAGCATTCTGTACAAGGGGGAAGCACACTTTGACCCTCATCACCCATGCTTATAGGGTTAAAATAACTAGATTGTTTGTAATGCCCCCCAGTGGCACAGTGGTATGTCTGCGGACTTACAACGATAGAATCCAGGTTTTTGATACCCATGGTGGGCAGAGCACAAATAGCCCTTTGTGTAGCTTTGTGCTTAATAATAAACAACAACAACAACATTGTTTGTAATACTTTCTTTTAATAATTATGAAGCACATAGTTTTGAGTGAATATTGTGATTCTTAAGAATCAGAATCAGGTTGTAACATAAATATGATCATGAAGTCCTGGAAAAAGTCTTGGAATTTTGTTCTTGGTGAAGTGTATGAACCCTGTTTTAGAAGTTAAATTTTGTGTAATTTGAAACATTAAAGTATGTTATCCTTCTTTAGTCAATTTTATAAAAATCGTTTAAAGAAAGTACCATAAAATGAATAGCATAATAAAAAGGTTTACACTTAATCAAACATTAACCAGGTTACACAAAACAAAGTATCTTTCCATCTGTTCTCTAATTAGCTTAAAGTTAATACATTCTTTACTTTTTTTGTCTCATACTCATCATTAGTATCGATCCAGTTTTCATCATTGTACGGTAAGATCAGTACTTTTTCCTGTAATTGTTTTCATTGCTCATAGTAACCATAGATAGTAAGTGGTGACTTTACCATTTTGTGCTTACAAAAAAATCTCTTCCTTATTTGTCCATTTTAACAAAAGAGGTAATTCAGATGTTTGACCAATTGTTTATTTAGAAAAGTAAACATTTTAATGCTATTTTTACCCTGCTGTTTATCTCAAGGAAATGAAATCATTTTTAGAATAATATATCTCAGATCTATCTTTTGTCAATACTATTGAAAATTAATAAATACAAATTCTAACCAGTTTGTACTAGCTACAGTTAAATGCATTTTCAATTTTGTTGCCAGTTCCTACCAACTGAAATAGGTATAGCTTTTTCCTGCTGTTCTCATTAACCAGAATTAAATATTACATTATCTTTTTGTATTTGTCTGATCTAAAGCAAACAGCCCCCATTGGCACAACGATATGTCTGTGGACTTACAATGCTAAAAACCGGGTTTCGATACCTGTGGTGGGCAGATCACAGATAGCCCATTGTGTAGCTTTGTGCTTAAATTCAAACAAGCAAACTAAAGTAAACAAATTCGGCTGTCAAGTGATTGACAGTGTTACATGATTTATCTAATTTGTTTCAATCTAACTAATTGATGGCTACTTTATGGGTTCATTGAAATCCCTGCAAATATTATTTTAATTAAAAAAGATCAGATTGATAATAAAGATTCTGGTTAAACTAGATAATATGAAAACTCCACAGCATTATGTTCCCCTTCAATACTCCAAGCTTGCTATGACAACAGATGTTTATATTGTAGTTACATACTGATGACTTGGTTACTGATTTTACTCTAATACATTGAGGAGATGTATTTGAAAATGATATTTATAAAGAAAAATTCTGATGCATCAGGCAACAGTGTTCTTTAACCCTCATGAGCACACCTGGGGTCCACATAGACCTCAATGACTTTTTGGATTGTATAAATCATTACATAATCATTACAAATTTATATCAATTCATGTAATAGTCAAGCAGAAACCCTGGACCAATATGACACTATTGTGTTCGAAACAGGCAGGTGAAGTACAAACTATAATCTGATATTTATCTGGGGTCCAAGTGGATCCCATACTATCACTGACCATCACTATACATGCAATTTGCCCTATAGCATACAAAACAAAGCATGTATGTGCAACTCATTCCTCAACAAGTGTTCTCTGTGATGAATGCTTTATTCTTAAGAAACCTTGTTTTATAATTGTTGTAAATAACCTGCTTATTGGATTTTCATTCCATAACCTACTATAAGGATACATTTGTGTTGGGGCCTTGTTGAACCCAAGGTGACCCACAATGTACCTTTCAATTTTCTTTGAGTTGAATTTTGTAGTATTGTGGTAATCTCATCATATATTGGTGGATAATCACTTGAATATAGGAGTATAATATAACTTCAGCATTTTTTTGACACACTGCTTGTGTAAGGAATGGTTTAACACTTTTATTTGTATAGTTGTTTGTATTTATTTGTATACTGATGAAAAATGTAATTTTGTAATTTCCTGATTTGTCAACATATTTCCTCTAGAATACATATATCTTTATATTGTTCAAATTGCATGCTAATGCTAATAAAAGTTTTAATGGAATTGGTTATTTGGAATTTCAATCCAGAGCTTACTATAATGCTAATTTTGTGCTGGGGTCCAGTTGGACCTGAGGTGTTCCACAACGTATCTTTTCAAAGATGTGCTGATGAGGGTTAAAACAAAGTTAAGTAAACATTGCAATTCAATTCAATGAATTACTTTTTGGGAAATAAAAAGTAAAATATTTTATCATCTCTTAAGAATATTCTAACTTTTAAAATAAATGTTTGAACCTATTGCATTGAAATAGTGATGGAAATAGTATGTTTTAAACTATTTTCTTTAGATATGAAAGTTTTTATTCAGCCAAATTCTAAAACTCATCTTCTGGAAATGCCTTCTTTTTTTAAAAATGAAATTTCCAACAAACATTTGACCTGTGAGATGACACCAAAATATAATAATGTGAGTTATATGTGGGTGAAAAATGGAATTTACCTCTCGTCCAGTAAGCAATCTATTTTTCCAACTAATATTATCGACTATACTAAATGGTTTGGTACTACAAATACGAAGCAAGGAGAATATGAATGCGGGGTGTGGTTTCCTGGTTGCCTTAAGCCAGTCATGTCATCACCTGTTTCTGTGTATTTTTCAGGTAAGATTTTTTTAAGTCATTTTATTTCTTTATATAAGTTAATTCAAGGTAGTTAAGTAATTTAGGTAGAGGCATTACAAATGTATAAAGAGGTCACTTTAACCCTTTTGCTGCATAGTTTGGGTACATTAGAATAAACATTTATACCCACTGACTGCAAAACTCGGATATAGCTCTGTGTGAAACCTGGGTGTTTATATGCCTCATTACAAAATTGCCAACTTTGCAGGAACACATGTAGAATCTATATAAAGACAGCTTCTTTATATTTTGGATATTGTTATCTAAGTAATTTATTTTATATTTTGTATTGATTTTGGCCTCTTATTGACTTAGTTTTGCCTATATTTATGCCATTTACTAGAGAACACTTTTCTTCTAAGTTTTCTCAATTTTTTGTTCAAATTATTATTTTTCACTATCCAGTAGGGTTTTCAAGGAATGCTACTGCCAGATATAGAAAATACAGCTTCTTTCAATATTGAAAAAGTAATACAAAGGATCAAATTCATAGTTTTATTTTTGGGTGGATAATTGATACTTTTTTTTGGGAATCAGCCTGAAAATTGATTGTGAAGTGAAAGGGTTAATCAAGTCTTTAAAACAAATTTTGGAAATGACAGTATAAAAGTGTTAATAAATCAGTGTTTCAGAGTAAAATTTTCAAATTATATGAAGAATAAGCTGATACTCATATGAAAGGCATAATTCAAGCTTGTATTAAAATTTTTTATATGCAATCAGTTTTTTTTCAGCATTGTAGCAATATCAAAATAAAAATTCAAAGGGTAAAAAATAATTATTATTATTACCATTGATGTTGCTTCTTAATGAACACTTTATTACTAATAGGTTTGGAAATTTCCACAAATGAAGGGAAAATCAAATCAGATTGTGTTTGTTTTTCAAACAGCAGATTATGTAGATGAGAGAGTAGCCTATTAAAAATTAAAATAGTTTTTAATAAGCATGGTTAAAAATTTTGTAACAACATCAGCAAACAGTTAGGAAAAGTTAGTGCAAAACTCTGAATGACTTACATTGGTTTGAAATAAAATCATTTTTAAAAATATAGTTTGAAAATATATATATAAAAAACCTATTAACAAACTTATAATCTTGTGAAATATATTTAAGTGTTAAATGTAAAAAATATTTATTAGGGTAATAAGTGCTAGGGGAAAGCATGTATAAGTTTGTTAATGTAGTAATTTGATTCTTGAGAAGTAAAATCATCACATGTCTGCAACTCTTGAAAAGTGGCTGAAAATATAATGTAAGCATTTTTGCACACACAAAGAGTTTTGTAGGAGTGAATAACTTTTTTCTTTGTTTTGTGAACTTATTCTGCAAAATTCTTAGTAGAAACCTGATTTAATCTTTTTTGTGACTGTCAGACATGTTGTAACCTTTAATCACCCATGGCATTTGATGTCAAAGCAAAAATGTTTTGAGAAAGTGTTCTTTGCTATTTTTATGGATAATTTTTATTCTTAAAAAAAATATTATATTTCAGATTTAATTTCATTAATGATGAAGATTCAAGGCACAACTTTTTCTTTGCATTTTGGTTCCAAATATTTTCCCAGGAATCTGAGAGACTTTTTTAAAACTACAATGGAGTTACTGATTGAAGGACTGAAAGATTATCTACCAAATCCAACTTGGGATTTTGTGAATTTCAAGTATGTTTTTTTACTCTTTAACTTGATTATTCTGAAGAAACTTTATCGTGTATTAGACCCAAGGTTATTTTATTTGAATGCAATATATATACATATAGAAAATTGTATTAAAATCTTAATTTTTTATGGGATCTATACTATTAAGTGATTTGTATTGTCTATAACAAAAATTTTCAAACATCTGATCACCACTAAACTTTCAATAGCTCTCTTATACACCCTAGAGAGATTTGAAGACCTCTTACTTATTTAATTTATTTTCCCATACTTTTGATAATTCAGTTTTCCCATTTCTGCTACCTTAGTACTTGTCAATTTTCCAAACTCTGCTATCATGAAAGTTTCATGCAGGGACTGTTTGGTATGGCCCAGATATGTAGAATATTTAGAAATACAAGTTAGATAATATATTGAAAATAGTTTCACTAATATGAAGAAGCTGGACTGCAGTAGTTAGTTTCTAGAAAGTTTTATTCCAGTAGTCAGTACACCTGTATTACAAATGCAAGACATTTCACTAAACTGGATTTAGGATGTTTCAAGTCAGAACTTAAAAAAAATTAAAATATATTGTAAATTTCAAGTATTTAGTATAGGAGAGTAAATTATGTGATTTTTGCATACTATAGCAGCATGAAAGTTTATGTTAATACATAGATAGTAGTTCCTCAAAAGCTCAGCAGTAAGTCTGACGTTTTATAATGCCAAAATTGGATTTTGATACCTATGGTTGGCACAGTACAAATAGTCTATTGTGTAGCTTTGTACTTAAGAACAAACAAACAAAAATTCCACAGTAACCCTGGTACATTTGATATAAATTTACAACTAACATTAAAGACAATTGAAATTTAATAACAAAATTTTAGTCATATTGCAATTGTAGTATAAGCTTGTATGTGTAATGATATGTGTATTGTTTAGATTTATATAAATTAACAAATGATCACCAAACCTCATGAGTACTGAGGGTGCCCTTTGTTTTTAGTTAAGTCTTTTTAGCAGTTTTTCAGTTACATATCATTGTAATTCCAAGGCAATAAATACCTGCACACAGAAAGCTATCTTCCCTGTGCCTTAGACATTTGCATGCCACTAGCCTTTAGAGAACTTATGAGATCTTGTGATTTGTGCTACTCCATAATGACATTATTATGCAGCAAAAGCCTTCCACCAATAGGAGGGTGACACAGCCATCCTGCACACTAGTTCCCTCTATACATTTGCACTTATGATTTACATTTTATTCCTCAGCACTGAACATATCAGACATATTTTTCTTTGTCAATTTCATGAGATTTACGAAGTTGAGGGAACTTAATTTCCTTCTATTTTTCTTCAAACTACGAACACTTGTTCATGTACTGTCTTCTACTACTTGTGTGAGTGACTAATTTCCTCACACATATTGTGTACTGTTGATGGCTTATGGAGGCACATTCCCTGTGGTGGCCATTGGGGACAGGATAGTGGGTTCCATTATGATACCAGGTACTTCAGCTCCAGTCCCTTCATCAGGCATTCCTTCCCCTTGTTTGTGGGATGGATGAGGATGAATTTGAATGTTCCTTCAC